CCCCAAAACCCCAAAACCCCAAAACCCCACGATTCTAATAAAGAATGTTTAAAATGTAAGCTTTATTGATCTAGATTAATTAGAAATATCATTGATAGTTAGTTTAGGATTGGCCATTATCATTTAGGAAACCAAATCCAAATTCTTATCTCTGGCCTAAAGTTTTCTATATTATATCAGCCAGTCTCTACAATTCTTATACATATGAATAAGGCAGTCTAGCCAGTTATTCCTCTCTTGCTTCAAGTAATGCATTTTAGATTTTGTATATCTCTTCTTTGCTAAGCATACTTTCGATGTCCTGACCATACTACAAGACTTATCTGAATTCCGCACTCGGACCTTTTTCATAGTAAGCAGTACCATCTTATGAGTTAGTAACCAAAGGGTAACCATCAGGGGTGTGTTCTAAGTTTTAAAGGGTTTTTCTGGTAGGAGTTTTTGAAGTCTAATAAGAGTTTGTGCTAAAATTAATCATCTAGTTAAATGGTCTTGAAGGAGTGCGGCTATTTATACCTTAGAGGGAAGTCTCTCTAAGTCTCTGCCCCTCCTAACTATTAATGCTCATTCTATTGGGAGTGTGTGATAGTATACTCTTTTACTCATGTTATGGTGAAATTAATTGGCTAACTAAAATCTTAGAGCTATCCTTGAGTTAGTGATTCATAGTCGAAAATGCCTATCCATTTAAGCCTAAGGGGAAACAACTGTTTTAATGGAGATTGCTTGTGGAGTGTCCACGATCTCTAGAAAATGCACTTTATTAGGTTTAGTGGATGTGATCTATATTCTACTGTTTGCCATCACCACTGCTCCCAAGCATTGACTTGAGCTCACTTTTCAACATATCAATCTTAGTTTGTCTAAAGTTGGTTTGATTATTTTGCTTCAATTCCATATAGTCTCTAATATTTATGCTATGGCCAGGCATTTAGTCCTGATTTTAACATTGATAGGTCTTGTTACTGCTCTAAGCATAATTTGTAATTTTAGAGTTGTTAGTTAATGGAGCTGTTCCAGACAGCTTAGAATTATCTCTGCTGTGATAGTTTAATGCACTGGGTGGCAAGTAAGAAGAACTAAGTCTGTAAGATGTGTCTTTAGAATTTGAAGTCAAATCAGGATTATTATTGTTGCCAGCAGTCAGAAATGAATTTGAATGCTTTTTGTTTGAAAACTGGTTCTCTTGCTCCACTTTCTTGCGAATTTATTTCCTAGCGTCCTCAAACATGGTCTTTAAATCATTATCCATAAAGGTTTGAGGCATTTGTTAGAGGGACTAGGTATTTACATATTTGGTTTAGATTGTGCCTTCTCCACTTTCAATTTGATCTTGGAATCTTTTTTATTCGTTAAATCTAGCTGAATTCATTTTGAATTTAATTTCTATAATTTTAAATTTAAGCTTATCAAAATTATTATTTTTCTTCTTACGGGGTTTTGGGGTTTTGGGGTTTTGGGG